CACTTTTGTTTATTTATTTTTTATGTTAATGAAAGTGACACCAAAAAAACAGAAACATTATTAGGAAATCCTAAGGGGGGCTGTGCCTGGGCTAAGCAAGTTTCTGATGGGGCTATAGCCCAGTCAAGCGCCGCCACTGAAAAGAAGCAAAGCTACAAAGTAAATCCAGACGTCTGAATTTGGCAGAACATGTGTCTAGACATGAATCAGCTCATTAAAAGTAATAAAGCTTGTATTTGCCATTGCTTTACTGCAGTTTGGTTTGTTATTATCTGGTGTAGCATCATTTATATTTGCCTCAAAATGAATAGGTAGACATTTATTTTTAATTTTATCACAGCCAAGAATAACATGTTGTTCCTGAACTTTGACTTTCTTGACTTGCTTACTATTGTTGATCTCAACAGTAAAGAACTTCAGACGCTTTTTGCTGATGCAGAGGTTTCCTTCATACATCTTTCCCCCTGATGAGCACACAGCTATCACCCGTCTTGCTTCTCTGAAGGGAAGGAATGACTGGATCGGCCTGTCCCAGGTTTTGATTCTGTTAATGAACTTCTGCCATTCTCTTAGTTTGTGTGGATCAGTTGGTGTGCCTTTACGTAGGTGTTGGTCAAGGAAAGTGTCAAACGCATTCTGGTTCTTCGCTTCTGTGCAGGGCTGAGATGGATGCAGCATGTCCAGCTCACACAGACAAGTGTGGAGCACCACAGTCAAGATGATCATGAATGACAGCATTTTTAGGATCTGAGGACGTTTGTGTAAATGCAAAAATGTCATTATTTCATAATGCAGATTTGATAGATAGTCAGCATTAAAAAGTTAAAATGTATGTATTCAAAATACAGTACAACTTTAAATTGGTTATTTTAATGACTACTAGATGACAATTCAACAACAATGGAAAGACTCATTCTTACAACACTGATCAGCAATAATAATAATAATAATACCATAAAAAACAACAGACACACAAGTAATTAGGAAAAACTTATCACCATTTTGCGAGAAGTCCTTGTGTCCAATCAGATGTTTGTCAGTGCTTTGACTCAAGTTCAGGTTTATATAGGTTGGTGTGCTGTGGGAAAAACAATGCTGGCAGTAGGAAGTGGCTAACCATTGACTTTACACTTTAAAAATGAGCATTGAGGCTTTCATTTGCAAAAGAAGTGTTGAAACAAGTTAAAACTAATATTTAACAAATCTGAAACATAAACCCATAAGTATAATTTCACATTCCCAATAACAGGAAAATGAAGAAGACGAAAAAACACAGAAAGCATAAAGATGTTGTTTCTTTTTGAGGTTTATCACCATTTATGTAAAGTCATGCAGCAGAGCTCGAACTGAGGCGGTTGCAATCTGTGACTAAATGCAGATTTGACTAGCTCGAAAATCAGTTTGTGACTGACATTTTTTAAAGAATTTTGAATAGTGGATACAACTGAGCATTTAAATAAGAAATAATGCATAATAAATATAAACTACATTAGAAATATTATAATTTAGTTGGCAAAAAATAAAAAAATAAAAACTCTTGTGCATGTGTAGGGCTTCAAGTTTCTGACCACATCTTGACTGGTGACGCCTGTGGTCTTTCTTTGAAGCTTGTGACAAAGATTACCTCAAATTTTATCTTTCTTTCTTTCTTTTTATTAATTAAAGCAGTATTAATTTAAGAATCAACGATACTGGTTTTATGGACTGAAACTGCTCCTGCACTAATATCATTTTGCATGGATGAACAAACATTTTTGATCAGGAGAGCTCTAGTGGTCTGCTTCTTTCCACCCAATTAGTTTTTTTTTTCTTTCATCATTTCATCATTCCATCATCAAAAAGGGAAAGCAGTGCAAGTGTAATGATTGGTAATTTTGCTTCATCCATCAGCTGATGTGGTAGTAAGACATCTCAGAGGTTTTAACAATTCAATTTTTAGTGTCACGTTGCAGTTGGCAGTTTAAAAACCTGTCATTCTCACCATTGACCGCAGCAGTATTACTCTGACTCAGTGGAGAATCACACATCATGCTTGAGGTTTTGAGAGGATGAAAATTGTGAGTGTGCAACATCAACTGGTTCTAAAAAGGGGGGGGGGGGTTATTTATTATTCTCTAATAAATTACTTGTTCCATTATTTGTATAATAAAATTAGTCGATCATAATGATCAATGATTTATAAAACTCATGGACCACTTCCATCTATTTTAATTTGTGTATAAGTCTGCACAAGTCTATTTTTCAAATATAAATGTCAAGATGACATTTCAACCGAATTAAAAGACAAGATGTTACATAGATGAAAAAAAATTGCCCACTTCATGATGTCCTTATTACCATTTAACTACATAAACCACACACAGAGAGAATCAGCCAAGAAGTAAAAAAAAACAAAGTGTACTACATCAGATTGTAATTATCCCCCGATGTCTGATTTTTGTTCTTTATTTAAAAACTGTTGTTGTCATATGTTATAGCTTCCAATACATATCATAATGAACACAGTACATTCACTAATGTCAAAATATTGATAGTGAGACCTGAAAGTTCAACGCATCTTGTAGCAGAAGGCTAATCATTTAATTGTGATGCAATCTTGAATCACATCAGGTCTTAAATTTTGTTTAGTGTGCAAAGGATATATATATATATATATATATATATATATATATATATAGACATTACATATCAAATAAATAGAACTGAAAGAGTTAAAGAAAGCTTAATAAAAGGAAGGGTAGTGTCCCACTTCCTGTTGATCTCTGTCTCATTCAAGACCACCAGCTATATATAAGTAATCATACATACCAGAAGTGAAGATCTGACTGTGTCTGGTGGGAATGTACACTTCTCACAATATGGTAATGTGCTGTTTCTAATTATGCACTGAATAGATCTGTATGTGTCATAAAATAGATTTTTTTATAAGTTAAATGATCAAAGCTTATAAGTTAATAAAATCATAATAAAATAAATAACCTGTTTGTCAAATAGCCTATGGGGGGGGGGGGGGGAGAGAGAGTCTGTGTGGCCCAGTAGGTCCATGGGTCAGAGTCATGTTCTCTAATAAATTACTTATTAGACCATTATTTGTCTAATAAAATTAGTCAATCATAATGATCAATGATTTATAAAACTCATAAGTTAAATGATCAAAGCTTATAAGTTAATAAAATCGTAATAAAATAAATAAACTGTTTGTCAAATAGCCTATGGATTCAAGGTTTTCTTTATATAACATGCATCAGTATCCAAAGTAATAGAGTAATCCATAATTGCTCTGAATTTCTTCCAAAAGCACCATATGAGTCATCCATCCTATGGCTGTAATATTGGCTCACAATCAAAACTGAGGGAGCTAAAAAGGTTGACGTGTCATAACAAGTCTCAGGATTTTGATCATAGAATTGAAGATTGAAAGTCAAAGAGAGAAATGCACACCAGAAGGGGGGAAAAACACTACGACGTTTAGCTAAAGGAAGCGAAAAGATACTGTCCACATTAAAAGAAGAACTTCACAAACATCAACACGAAGGTCTGCAGTTCAGCATTTCGGTAAGTATACACAGAGAGAATCAGCCAAGAAGTAAAAAAAAACAAAGTGTACTACATCAGATTGTAATTATCCCCCGATGTCTGATTTTTGTCATCTTGCCCATTCATATGTATAGAGTCGCTTGCTTTTAGAGACAGAACCACGCGCATGCCACAGACGCCAGCAGAGCTGTAGTTTATAACATGCTGTTTTAGATGACTTTGAGAGAGGACCTGAGCTCTGCGTCTGCAAAGCGGAATATTCTGGAGGAACATCTGCCTTTTCTCTTTCTTCACAGCAGGTGAATAGTAGTTTGCTCATGTTGAACTGGCACTTTTCAGGATTTAGTGTCAATCCACGTTCGCTCAGCCTTTCCATGACCATATATAAACGTTGGTCATGAGTTTTATGATCACCAGCATGAACAATGACATCATCCGAGATATTTTCTACACCGTCAATTCCCACTAGTGCATTGGCAATCTCGTGCTGGTATTGTTCGCTGGCAGAAGAGACACCGAAAATCAGTCTTTTAAAACGATACACGCCATTATGCACCGCAAATTTAGTGATCTCTCTTGATTCAGGGCTAAGCTCCAGCTGGTGGTAGCCCCATTTTAAGTCCAGCTTACTGAATATAGTTGAGTCATTGATGCCTTGGAGAATCTCATCCACAGTAGGCATAGGGTAGTGCTCCCTCACTGTGGCACGGTTAGCCTGCCTCATGTCCAGACTCAGTCTTATCTTTGAGTTGGCTTTAGGCACAATATCTGTCGTCCTAACTGTCATCTTATTCTGTCGTCCTAACTGTCGTCTTATTCTGTCATCTGTTCTGTCGTCCTAACTGTCATCTTATTCTGTCATCTGAACTGTCGTCCTAACTGTCATCTGTACTGTCGTCTTATTCTGTCGTTCTACCTGTCGTCCTTACCGTCATCTTAATTGCAGTCTTGTTACTGCACTGTAGTTTTGTTGTCATCTGGTTCTGTCGTCTTAAAGTGATAGTTCACCCAAAATGTAAAATTTTGTCATTACTTACCCTCAAGTTGTTCCGAACCTGTATGAATTTCTTTCTTCTGCTGATCACAAAAGAAGATTTTTTTTGAAGAATGTTTGTAACGAAACAGTTGTGAGGCCCCATTGACTTCCATAGTATTTTTTCCCCATAAAAACACAGATGCAAATACTTAACGCAAAGCTGTCCAAATAAAAGCAAAGGTGGCTCTTATAATATAAATAATACTTATTAATGCTCAGTTTTTATATATATATATATATATATATATAAACACACACTCACACCAATATCCGACAGTAGGTGAATAAAGGTGATAAAGCAGCAGAAATGTCCATTTGCAGTTAACACTATAACCCACTTAAAACCACTTTATTAGGTATTATACAAAGGTAAAGAAAAACAACATCCATGAACCATTTTCTGAATACACTCCTGAAAACATGGGGTCTTTCACTGTTGTGGTCATACAGTAGGCTGGCAAGCTTTAGTATTAACTAGTAATCATAATAGTAAACTAATTTGCAGATTTTTAGAATACGCAGCGAAATTGCTACAATACAATGATTTAGTTTAGAGAGACCAGGCTATGGTGACCCTCATTTAAAGTTATACATGTTAGAAACTGTAATCCAATTGCTCCCTTGAAACCCTTAATGCCTCCAAGAAAATGTCAACTCCAAAGCAAGTGCTAGTGCCAAGTGGATCCACTCTTCCTTGAAGAAACTGGAAAACAGCACTGTGCAGATTCTCAGGTGGTGGGGGAACTTCAATTATGTCATCATCATCCACTGGTGTTGGTCCCTCCCAGTCAATGCTGTGCTCTTCGAGATATGTCTAGAAGAGAAAAAAACTGAATATAGTACAATATATATATATAAACACACACACCACCATCAAGGCTGCATGTATTTGATAAAAAAAGAAAAACTTATACAGGTTTGGAACATGAGGGTGAGTAAATGACGACAGAATTTTCATTTTTGGGTGAACAATCCCTTTAAACCAGATGTTAATTTGTCCTGCTCTTAGTAGATTGTGTTGGTCAGTATGGAAATGATCTGGCTGTGTCTGTGTTCTTTAATGTGGGCATTGTCAGTAAATCACCTGCAGAACTTTACACTCCCATCGGCCCTTTTATGGGATTATATTGCTGTCATGCTAATTTGCCCTGTTAATTAAATCTGGCCCTATAAGTATCATACTGTTTCCAAACTTACATATACATTATATTTATCATTTAATTTTGATAATTTATATAATCATTTAGCAGACGCTTTTGTCCAAAGCGACTTACAAATGAGATAACTTATGGTGTTTGTTTGTGTATGTGTGTGTGTGTATATATATATATATATATATGGCAGGCAGTGGTGTTCTGAAATGAGGACGCAAAGTCCTCACAGTTTTTATTTATTTATAAATAAAATGTAAATTCATGTATGGAATGCCAAACCTGCCCAAATTAAAAATAAATAAATGCATAAATAAATATACAAAGAAATGTAAAAAGGCAAAAATAAATAACTATTCATACATTTATTTCCTTATGTATATATTTTTCCCCCCCAAATTTATTTATTTTTTATTTTATTTATTTATACATTTATTCATTTCGACTTTTATTTATTTTCACATTTATTTATTTATGAATTTATTAACTAAAGATGTTACAAATCTGCCTGGAAGAGGACATGTGTCTATAGTGTCCTAATGTACAGTAAGGAGGAGAGTTTGAGTGGGCAAAGACTCTCCAAGGATCACAGCTCGAGAATTGCAGAGATTAGTTGAGTCTTGCGGTCAGAAAGCCTAAAAAAAAAAAAAGACCAAACAGCCCCTACATCCCCACAAGTTGTTCGCGAGAAGAAGACTCAGAGCTGTTATCTCCGGAAAAGGATGTTGCAATAATTGTGGCCAACGTGAACTAGAGAACATGTTTTATTTCATAATGAGCTTTTCCCCCCATTTTCAGTTGTTTTACTTAAATGTAAGGTTAGAATTTTGTGAATTTTTTGAATGAAAGATCAAAAGGATAAACAATGCAGATTTATTTTCACATTGACCTTTGCTCATATTTACCAAGGGTGCCAATATTAGTGGAGGGCACTGTATGTGTATGCTATAATAAAATATTAATAAAATTATAGGGGCCACGCACCGAAGGTGCGATGTAGGCTTTGTTTAATTATTCAGCTTTTGCAATTAGTTAAACTATTGAGTTACATATATTCTAACTAATAAATAAAACAAGGTAATCACGTCAGCTTTTGAAAATGTCAAACAATTGTATTACTACTGTACAATTACAATTATTTATTTACTTACAATACAAATTAATATATTTGGCACACAAAAATGAGATGACGGACAGACAGACTTTCTCATTTACCATGTAATTAACTGTATGAAAAGGTAACTGACTGAATCATACATCATTCTTCCTAACATCTCCTTTTGTAAGTCATATGGATATGGAACAAAATGAAGGTAAGTGATGAGACATTTAATTTGTGGATAAATTATTTTATTCACAATATTAGCTCTCTTAAAACAACTTCTAGTGTTATAATAATCAAAACAGTCCTGAGCTAGATTAAGATTTAATTTATGCAAACCAAAATATCACTTTAATGTAATAATATGATTTTTTTCATTATCTATTTATTTTTGCATTCAATAATAAAAAGATTTTAACATTTACTAGCTCCACACTGGAGAGCTGCTTTATAGCAGAAAATCATGTAATTCTTAATGAATGTGACAGTGACCATGTTTTTTCATGTTTAATACTGTAAAGCTGCTTGTTTTAAATCAATCTACTGTATAAAGTGCTATATAAATAAACGTAACGTGACTGGGGTGCCGATTACAGATCTAGTGCAAACTTATCCACATCGCTATAATAATATGCTTTCTTAACTGCTGTTTTCTCACCGCTGTCATGTTTGTTGTGTGTTTATTGTGTTATTGAGAGGAAAGCATGCAGCGCATATTTTCAAATTCATCTAAACGCCACTCTCAGCACAGTCTGTTTTGGCTGCGTTTACACTCTGGTGCGGTGAAGAGATGGGTCCCACCTTAGGACCCCAGGAGTATGGCGGTCCTAAAGCTGTTCTCATGATAACTTGTTGTTGCTAACATGATCTGATTTTGAATTAAAGTTATGTTAAAGTTTTCGTTGAATGCTGAGGTGAAGCTGTACATGGAGAGTGCAATTTATAAAGAGAATGCTGACAGGGACCAGGAGAGAATGAATATTTATACTAAGTACACACAAAACATAACTAGCATACTGTCATTTATTTAAATGGATAAACTGTTAATAAGAAAAATAATAATGAAGACAAGTTAACATCATCACATGGTTCTTTTAATAACAAAATTTGAACAAAATAATATTGCGATGATTATCACAATAAAAATACTTACGTAATTGTAATAGGGTAGGGCATGTGCAGGTGGTTACAGTATAAGCTAAACTAGCACGCTTGTCGAATAGCTGTATGCTATGCAAGGTAACTAAAAAACACTAAGATCGAGAAATGTTAAATTTCAAAATCTATAGCTTCGGTTATATACTAGTATATGAATGAAACATACAGCACTTGTGCTCCTAATTAAAAAAATTTAGGAGCACAGTCAAAAATGTACGAGCACCTTCTGATCACTGAAAGAAATTAACCTTCCCATTATAAGGCAACATTTTACTCCTTAGAATGACTTTCTGGGGATTTTTAAAAAACCTTTGTAAGGACTTTTTTTTAACCTTATTAAATGTGTCATCTTTCATATCAAATTCATTAATTCATATTTATAAATTTAGTTAGAATAATAAGACACAATCAGGAAGAATAAGTTACCAATCATATGATGTATCAACAAAATTCATCTTTGCACTGCAGAGGTGGCCAGAAGTAGGGGTGGACGATATGAGCTCAAATTTATATCACGATATTTTACACTGTCCAGGCGATATCGATATTATATTGCGATATGAGAAAAAAAATTACAGGCAAAATATTTTAACCTTATATAACTAGAAAAAGTGAGGGATTGGACATAGACCTGAAAAGTCTTTTTTTTATTGTGCCATTGTTTTTCTCCAAAAAAGTGCAAATGCGCAACATGAGGTATGAATTAAATTAAATTAAATTAAATATTGTGTGTTTGAGTAGGTCAGTGGTTCCCAAACTTTTTCTGCCGGGCCCCCTTTTGTAGAGAAAAATATTTTCAAGGCCCCCCCCCCCCCTTCCTCTTCTTTTTTTTTTTTGCTCACTATGGCTACATGTATTTATTAAAAATACAGTAAACACTGTAATATTGTCAATTTAAATTATCTATTTGAATGTTTTAACATATAGGCTACTGTATTCCTCTGATCAAAGCTGAATTTTCAGCATCATTACTCCAGCTCAGTAACCATTTCTGATTATTATCAATGTTGCGGCTCGTCGGGGGAGGCAGGGGAGGCACAGCTTCCCCATAATTTTGAGGTGAAAATGGGAAGAGGACGATTTAATGTTAATAAAATTCACAATTAATTTTAGTTCATGTCTCAGAATGTGTATTTTTTGTTTGTAATTTCACAGTTGTAATACCATAACGTGAAAGCACTTTTCTATCGCGAATGTGCCAAATCTGTTGATGTAATTGCAACCGCTAGGTTATAAAGAAGGGGAGGGGGAGGCCAGTGAAGAGCTGAGCTCTCGTGCCTCCGTTGGTAAAATAAATGAGCCAATCAGCATCGAGTGTTCACTTTCAGCGCTGAGGAGTGTTGAGAAAAGAACCCTCGCATGATCAGTGTTGCCAATTTAGCGACTTTGTCGCTAAATTTTGCGACTTTTCAGACCCCTTGGCGACTTTTTTTTCCAAAAAAGCGACTAGCGACAAATCTAGCGACTTCCTGGACAAACCTTAGCGAGTCTCTGTGATCACTGGTACTGACGCAAAGGCGCGAGGTCAGCACGTACACACCTCTCTCTCTGCGTCTGATCTGTTCAGCGAGTGGCTGAGAGGAGCAGCGCGTTCAGTTAAAATAGATATTATGTTGCTTCTCTAATTTTACATGCAAATATAGCCGAAATCGCAGCACAGGAATTGTCTGTGTCTTGTCTTTTCTTATGTGCGTTTCATTTCATCAGACGATGGCTCAAATATAAAGCAGGATTTTTGTGCAGATTAACGTCTTGGAAGGGAGAGCTGGTTATGTAGTCTTAAAGGGCCGCATTTCAGTCACTATTTCATATTTATTCTGTTGTCTGACAACAGAAACAGTCATATATATATAAATGAAAACAGTTTTGCATTTAAAGAGACAGGCCCGAAAAACAGCGTGTTTCTGCTTCCACTCAAAATAGGCATTTTCAAAATTATATAATAAATGATATGTGGAGTATTTTGAGCTGAAACTTCACAGACACATTCTGTGGACACCACAGACTTGTATTACATATTGTAAAAAGGGGCATAATATGTCACCTTTAAAATTTGCAAAGTGTACCAAATTGAACAAAACTATATAAATGCAAAATTTGAATTCATGAATATATAACGGTATCCACGGTATAGCAAAATACATATCATGGAACAACATAATACGGTAGTCACTTTCATACTGGTATAGTGCCCACCCCTAGCCAGAAGAACAAAAAGGTAGCATTTAGGTATATTTACAGACTGTTTAATGAGGCTCAGAAGTGGCATGAATGCATTTAAATTCATGATAACCATGTTATGAGATTGATGTTTTAAATAGAAGTATTAAATGATTGAAATAACGGAAATGATACTTTAAAAATTTAACTAAAATCGCCAGTAGGGGGCGGCAAGTCACTTTTGTAGGCCTGGGAGGTGCTATTCTAAGTTGGTTTAAATCCTTTTTAACTAATAGAAGATTTAGGGTTAATAGGTAATTGTACTTCATCTCTGGGTCTTTCAACATGTGGTGTTCCTCAGGGCTCGATTTTAGCTCCTACTCTTTTTTTCTCTATATTTACTTCCTCTGGGTTCTGTGTTTAGAAAGCATGGAGTTTATTTTCATTGTTATGACGATGACATGCAAATATATTTACCAGTTACTATGAAAAAAGAAAGTGCTGTAAATACTTTATCTGCTTGTCTTGATGATGTTAAATCCTGGCTTTCTAAAAAAATTATTTTCTTAAACACAGATAAAACGGAGGTCATAGTTTTTAACTCCTCAGACCCCAGGCATCAAAATCAATTTGATCTTAAGCACCTAAATTCATTTACTTCCCCTTTTTTGGTGTAGAGTTTGATAATTCTTTAAAATTCGATAAACAGATCAGTTCTGTCGTAGGCTCCAGCTTCGTCTACCTTCGGTCCCTTTCTAAAATTAAACCATTTCTTTCTGTAGTTTCCTTAGAGATTGCCATCCATGCCTTCATCACGTCACGGCTGGATTACTGTAACTCGCTGTACTATGGCATTTCAAAAACTCAAATTTCTCGTTTACAGGTAGTACAAAATGCAGCAGCTAGATTTCTGAAGGGGTGTAAAAAATTTGATCATGTTACACCCATTCTGAGATCCCTGCATTGGCTGCCTGTTCAGTACAGAATTGAGTTTAAAATTCTTCTATTTGTCTACAAATCATTGAACAATTTAGCTCCGCCTTATCTTACAAACCTACTTCATCCCTACATCCCCACAAGACGATTACGATCCGAGGAAAAACTTCTCCTCCAGATCCCTCGCACTCGTCTAAAGACGAGAGGAAATAAAGCGTTTGAAGTGGCTGGTCCTATTCTCTGGAACAACTTACCATCTCATATTGGAATGGCCTCCACTCTACCTGTGTTTAAATCTTGTCTAAAAACTCATCTTTTTACTTTGGCGTTTATTAATTGATTTCGTTATAGTCATGTTATGTGTATTTGACATTATGCTATTAATATTTTACTTATTGTATTTGTGCTATTGAGTGTACAGCACTTTGGTCGGCTTTTAGCTGTTTTTAAATGTGCTTTAGAAATAAACTTGAACTTGGGTCATTGAATTGACTCACTGCATAAACGAAACAACTGTGTTTGCTCGGAGATGCACGGCAGTTCAGCTGTGAGTTTGTTTGGAACTATGTTCGTTGACGAAATAGACCAAATCTGACAATACTGTTCCTAAAATGTAAGTAATTTAATATTAACTTCATGTTTATTGAATTGTTGTATAAAAGCAAAATTACATTTTGCAAACTCCCTTTATAATCATTAAAAAAAGCTGTCACTTGTCTCAGTTCATCGCGATCTCACAAACTTCCGTTATAATTAATGAAGTTGTCTATACAGCACTATGAATGCCTTATTTACATCGTGTTTTGAACGGTGTAACTTAAACGCCTCTGATCGGCCATTGGGTTCAAGAAAACATCAGTGATTGGCTACACTGCTCAACACTGCAACAACACAGTCTCTCTCCACGCTCTACAGACAGAAAACACAAATACGCACTGGCGCGTTTGCAAAATCTGTTTGGCCTGTTTGCACCCTCTAGCAAACCGGGCCTGATCGGGTCAGTCGCACTGATACTCCAAAATACTTTTTCACATTTGCACGCAGTAATTTTAAGTCGCAAATGCCACTGAAATGGTCGCACTGTAGAACCCTGTCTAGTAAGCATCTTCTTATGTATTGCATCCGGGACCGCTAAATTACAGTCTTGCGCTACAGCACCACACTGGTCAAACCGCGTTATTGCAGGCCCTTACATTAGGTCATATGAGATCAAACAACTATTCCAGTGATTCTCAAACCTGTCCTGGAGTACCACCACCACTGCACATTTTGTATGTCTCCCTCATCTGACACCCAATTCAAGTCTTGCAGTCTCTACTAATGAACTGAAAAGTTGAATCAGGTGTGTCAGATGAGGGAGACATACAAAATGTGCAGTGGTTGTACTCGGGAACAGGTTTGAAAACCACTGGACTATTCGACAAGAGAATTTTTTGTAGACAAATCGTTTCAGCCCTACTCTGTAAGTCCATAGAATCGTATGGTAAATTGTGAAATTTGGCACACAGATAGAGGACAGTCCAAACATTCACAGCAAATTTGGAGTCTATAAGTCAATCCCTCTAGCGCCACCAACTGTCCAAAGTTTCACTTACATTGATGTAAATAACTTTTGAACCGTTTTTTCTTCCGATTTCATATCTCAAGATGATTTGAATGTACCCTTTGATGTAATTTTCCATCTAGTGGTTATAATAGTAATTTTGTCATACTATTCACTAATATTGTTCTATAATTCATCTTTACAAATTATAAAATCACTATTATAACATTTACAATCACACTGATAAAATTCATGACTTGCACTAAGGATTTTATTAACGAAAATTTATTGTAACTATCTATATCTACAACAAAATGTGTGTGTAAGCATGATTAGAGTTTATTAATCGTGAAAGCAGAAATGCCCTTTTCGGTCATATCATGATGCCCCATGGAAAGCGATTTCTACCGAGGGGATATCAACCAATACATTTTTGTTTCAATGTTTTGGGTTTGTTCGTGCGTTTGCCTAAAAAAAACTGCTTAATTTAGCATAACAATAATTTCAGGAACATTGCGAGAAACATGCTAATGTTTTTTTCTTCTTCTGTGCACTAAAATAAAAGGTTTGTGAACCTGCACAGCTCTTCCAGTTCATATAGATTTGAACGACATAGACTCCGTCCTACACCAACTACGAATTCTTTTTCTAATCATTCATGCCTATGAAAGACGGCCGAGCCAATCAGAGCAAGTATGGGGTGGAGCAAGAGTGCACCCCCCGCCTATTCTGCAGGTTGCAGCCAGGTGTACTTGGGTCAGAAGCAGTCGTTCAAGAAAACGCATAGAAACCTAACATCTTGCAGTTTATTTAGTAATTGTTTACATCCATTTCTCGATTTTAAAGAATCGGATCCCTGCAAGAATAAATTACATTTTAAAATATATTCAAATAAAAATGTTATTTTTAACTGTTATATGTCATAATTTACAGATTTTACTGTATTTTTGCATTAAATTAATTCAGCCTTGCATTGTGAGCATACAAGACTCAAAAAAAAAAAAAAAAGATCTTACCAATCCCAAACTTTTGAATGGCAGTGAAAATAATTATTTCACCTATTTCAGTTGAGTTTCAGAATCTGATAAAGTATTTTAGCAGTGTTTATAAAGTGTTTAGTTTCAATTTATATTAATAAATATTCTTTGTTTAGTGGACTCAAATGAAATAATGTCAGTCATAATATATAGTCTACTCACATAACTAATACAGCTCAAATATTACTTTTTTGAACTTTAATGGTTTAAGGCTATTGGTTTCCTCAAATTTAAGTTAACTTGCATGGTAATTTTATAGTATCATACTGCTAGATGTTTTGTGTTATTTTACGGGACTATTTTTTATTGTATTGTAATTTGCCTGTTGAATATTATCACAAAAGCATTACTGTACATTTGACATTTTAAGATAGCTTCATTAACAGACCTGCTCAGACAGTGGGTCACAAATTTGATCGCTGTTCCGTAACTGCCCTTCAATCCATAACTGCTGTGGTGACCTCCCATGCTCTGTGGAAATTGGATGCCGATCCCATGCTTGCTTGAAGAGCTGGAGATGCATATTGATTCTTGGGAGCATCACATAATGAAGACAAATGATATCAAGTTCATTATCAGGATTGAGAGCACCGGTGCTGGAGAGATGTTGGAGTGCAGAGTGATAGTTGACTGTCACAGCACACCAAACATCTCTCCAAAGTCTTTCAATTCGCTGATTATGCACGCTGCGTCCAGTGATGAAACTTTCTAAACAAGAGAAAAAAAAAGCAATTATGAAATAGGACTGTCTTTTAATATTATTTTATATACGATTTTATTTACAGAAAAAAACAAGTGCTAAAACTGCTAAAATTACATTATCCAAGAAATACCTGTTCCTCTATCTGGATGCTCCAGCATAAAGCGTGCCACCTCAACATTCTCTCCACCTTTATCACTACGCACTCTTTTAGGTACCCCAAAGAGTTGCACAGCACCAACAAATGAAGATAGAACAGTCAAGGCTCTATTGTTGTCACTTGCATGCAGGTACATGATTTTCCTACTGTACCCATCTATCCCCCCATGGATCACAATTCTCCATCTAAAAAAAAAACACAAAAAAAAAACATTATGAGTAGGTACAGAAGCTATTTTATGACATGAAATATAGACACAAAGTCTTAAATATTTAGAGCATTAAAGGGTTAGTTCACCCAAAAATGAAAATTCTGTTATCACTTAGCACTTATAAATCCATAAGGCATTCGTTCATCTTTGAGACACTAATTAGGAGATTTTTATTGAAATCTGAAAGATTTCCATCCATTGAAAGTCTATATTAACCCAAAAGTTGGAAGCTTAAAATTGATTTAATTTAGGATTTTATTGACACATAAACATTCATTCTTATGAAATGGTTAGTTCCGGTCCATGATTCTGATTGGTCAACAGCTGTGTTTTATTCATGTTAAACACGGCTACAACCGCTTCACCCAACGGTTCTTTGTATCACCAAAGACTTTATAGGGACTTTGGTATCACTGCACTACACCCTTAGCAATGTAGACATATGTTTGTTCTCATTCATATTGTTCATTGAAGCTTACTGCAGCTATAGCATTTTCCTTTAGGTCAGTCTTAATTTCATAATAAAAAAAAATCATAACACTGACAGCACTAGTCAAAGCATTTGTCAGTTGCATTCCGTGTTCACAACAGTATTTGCCTGACTCACTCATAAAGAAAAACGTTTTTGCATACTATGTTTACTAATGTATAAGTGCAGAGGGAACAGACGGAAAGTTCCTAGTCTGTTTTTATTTGGATATTTGGATATTACCACGATGACGCATAGGAACATTCCGTTGTTGTTCACGGTCAGGGAATATTTTTTCCAGCGGAAGAAATGCTTTTAGTAATTGTACTTCATGAAATTTGGTTTGATTCATATTTTTTTGGCTTTTATAATTGTATTGTGTGGTAACCATTTTATAAAGCCAATAAGGTACTTGGTGCTAGTGCTGTATCGTGAATAAGTCATGGCTGAAGGGCTTGCAGGTACGACGCGAACAATGCCCTTCTGCAGTGACTTGTTTGCAATACAGCCTCAAATAGCCTACCTTATTGCTTTCTGAACATATCTTAACTTGTGTTATAAAGATGAACTAAAGTCCTTTGGGTTTGGAATGACAAAGGCGGGTGACTGATGACAGAATTTTCGTTTTTGGGTGAACTAACCCTTTAACTTTCAATATGCTTACTTTTTTAAGATGGGGATACAAAATAAATGTAACAAACATGTTTTTCATATTCAGTTATTCATTGGTATATGTATTAAAAATGAGTAATGTTAGTACCAGCGATGGTGTGTTTTGCTTGAACATAATAATAATGTCAATCTTTAAACATTTAATTCCTTCATACAAAGACTGAAATGACTTCTATCCCATCATTACCTTTTATTATATGTGAAGCTGGATATTATTAAGTAATCACGTTGTAGTGTGTAAAATAGATTTTACAGCATAATCTATTCTTTATCTCTACATTTAAAGAACTGACTTTAGCAGACATAAGTGATTGAAAACAATTACCGAATCAACTTATGGTTTCCGTCAATATGCCATAAAGCCATGGGTGCAGGAACAGAGTATACTCTTCTCTGAATTATGTTGATTCCAAGTCCACGACATACAGTGCCCACAGGATCTACAGTCCGTAAAGTTTCCATTACTCTGGACCTCTGCACCCTTGGAAAATTATACAATTTACAAAGTAGTTATTAAAACAACTTCCATTGCACTCCAGTAGTCAAAATTACTTGCTATTTCTGATCCAAATATGTTTAAACTAATCTTGTAGTCAAGACCACCTAATCCAAGACCAAGTTGAGGCCAAGATCTACGTGTTGAGACCAAGACAAGACCAAGACTTTGAGCGGTTGAGACCAACACCAAAGCAAGGCGATACAGAGTCAAGACAAAGCACTCCTCAAATTCATCTGAAAGATCCACATTTACTGCCTGAAAAATGTCGTCTTTTTAATCAGTAAATACAAGATGAATAAGACACTACATAGAGCAGTTACCGATTAAATGAAATCATGAACAACAAAATGCTTCTTTGACTGCAGACAAATGCAAAGTAAAAATGTTGATTAATGTTTTAAAGGGGTCATATGATGTTGCTAAAAAGAACATTATTTTGTGTATTTAGTGTAATGCAATGTGTTTAAGCGGTTTAAGGTTAAAAAAATACACTAAATAATTCCATATAATGTACATTATTGTTTCTCTTCTATGCACCGCCTTTCTGAAATGCGGCGATTTTTACAAAGCTCATAGGTCTGAAAAGCTAGGTGTGCTCTGATTGGCCAGCTATCCAGTGTGTTGTGATTGGCTGAATACCTCAAGCGTGTGACGGAAATGTTACGCCCCTCACCATACTGTGATGGCATCTCCCAGCACGATGAGAAAAAACCAATAAAACCCATTACAAACGAGGCATTTGTTGCATCCAGCGGGGACATAATTACTGATTATAATGACTTATACTGTCTCTTTATGCATTGCGTTGCGTATCACGCCGCGTAAACATAACACCATGTCTGCATTTGTGATTGGAGAAACAACAAACAACAAGCACTACTCTACACTGCTCAAAACTCGCGTTTGAATCGTCATATAAAGGAATCCAATTGACACAACTTCACACACAATTTTATACGCAGGACTTGAACCTACAATCTCTGGACCAGGTGCCTGTCACTCATCTTGTTGCGCCACTGGGAAGACATGTGTTCATGGAGATTACGAAGTTAATTCCTAACCCTAACCCATAGTTCAAGTGAGAATCAACTCAAAATGAAGAATTTTTGTAGAAATGCACAGCATGTTATATTTTCAATAAACACGATGAGAAAAAACCAATAAAACCCATTACAAACGAGGCATTTGTTGCATCCAGCGGGGACATAATTACTGATTATAATGACTTATACTGTCTCTTTATGCATTGCGTTGCGTATCACGCCGCGTAAACATAACACCATGTCTGCATTTGTGATTGGAGAAACAACAAACAACAAGCACTACTCTACACTGCTCAAAACTCGCGTTTGAATCGTCATATAAAGGAATCCAATTGACACAACTTCACACACAATTTTATACGCAGGACTTGAACCTACAATCTCTGGACCAGGTGCCTGTCACTCATCTTGTTGCGCCACTGGGAAGACGTGTTCATGGAGATTACGAAGTTAATTCCTAACCCTAACCCATAGTTCAAGTGAGAATCAACTCAAAATGAAGAATTTTTGTAGAAATGCACAGCATGTTATATTTTCAATAAGTTCAGATTACATCATTCTCAGAAAGACTCAATGTCTGGAACAGAAGCAACTTTTACAATTAACCATTTAGCATGCTAAGCTAACTAACGTAAGACAACAAACACAAGCAAGGTCACATTCGGAGACAAATATCTCAGAAACTGTAGCGAATATCAAAAATCTCTTCAGTCATTTCTGTGCGGCTCGGTCCAAAGATCATTTGAGCCGATTTTGGACAAAATTGGACTTTGGACAAAACTTTTTCATTTACTTCAATATGGTGGACAGGTACATTTAAGGAAAATGACAAATGACACATTGTTGGAATCTGCTTAAGCCAGGGAACAATTTAACATTGAGCAAACAAAATTTGGACAATGCTTTCAAAAGTTATAAGCATTTTTGCAAAATTCCTTATATCTCTGGAACACTAGGTGGTGCTGTGTTCAAACTTATCAGGTACCTTCAGGACATTCTGATGATGATACATACCAATTTTTGTGAAGATATGAAAAATTGTTTAAAAGATATTGCAATTCATGACAAAATTCAAAATAGTGGACATGTGGTTCATCCGATATTGACAAAATTGGTATCCTCGGAATCCATAGACACCAAGATCATGATTTTCTGACAAACTGTTCAAATGTTATTGGCCAAAATAGCCATTTTGATCTTATGATCTTATCTTATGACCTGTAGGTGGAGCTGTTCCCAAATTTTGGCATGTACCCTCAGATCATGGTCCTGAAGCGTACCAATTTTTGTTTCAATTGCTCAAAGTTTGGCCAAGATACAGCCTCTAAACCAAGTTCGAGACTTTTTTTTTAACAGCAGATCAAAAAATCTCTAGAGTTGTGCCAAATTTCACAATTTTCTCATGTTCCATTGATAGGGCTGCCATAGACTCCCATTCGGGAGGAAGAATTATAATAATAAGAAGAAAACTAACAATTACAATAATTAAATTATAAATAAATTACTGATTGCATTTGAAGCAGGAAGCTTTACATCCACTTACATTCATTAATGATTTTAACAAATAAAGCAGACAGTCCACTGGCAATTTAGTGATGTCCCTGCAGTCGTGGTCTTGACTGGTCTTGAAATAAAATCCTGAATCCTCTTAATCTGAGGCAGAGACAAGCCTGAATACAAATGCAGCTGAGACTGAGACGAGACAAGACCAGGACCAAGGCCAGTCTCAGTTACTACAACACTAATATACACTTACCAACAAAATCCTGTGGCAGATATAAAGATTACAATATCAAATAAACCATATGTTAAATAAAACATTCTGTCTGAATTAATGTTCTTGTATTGTATCATAATAGACGTGCTTACAAACATTGGAGGCAAAAAGCTGGTCAAGTGTTACATAAAGGAGTTTTCAGATGTATCAGGCCTAAAAATGAAAAAATACATTTTCCCCATTCAATAATGTTGAATTAATTTCTGTAATATTCCAATCAAAAACCAAGTAACATATCTGTCAAGACAAATATCTGTGTAATAATTTAAACTTTGATTCAATTATTAATAATAAAAAAAATTCATTTAAAGGGATTTGTCAATTCAAGGAAGGGTGTTTCTGTCAAAAGTTTAAAGAATCTCAAGATCAGTATGTGTCCTTATTATGGATAGGCCTATTGGATAAAATATTTTTTATTTTATTTGGCAAAACAAAAACAAAAAAATTCTCAATTATTTGAGAAAATAAGTTTCATGGGCGATTAGAGGTATTGCATGCTATAAGCAATATTTTTTAAATAAACTGAAGACAGTATTTGGAATTCATTAATCGTTTTGCATTATGCGTTATGCGTTATTAAGCGTTATGTTCAAACAAATGGACAACCTCTCATTTTTATTTAAGTTTAATTCAGTTTAATTATTCAATTGGAAAATATATGTATGTCTAATAATGATGCTGCCATCTTTTAAAAGTAATTTTTACTCCCCTGTAATTTGGCTACAAATCTCAGGTGAAAATTGTCATTTTGACCCCCTGTACAAATCAGTGGATTACTCCGTAAATATACATTCATGACATTTAATATTTTGGTTTTCATTACTATTTATGTTTGTCTTTCTTCAGAAAAAAATATTAACAAAATCTAAAATTTGAGCTGTGGAAGTTTCTGAAATTGGGTTAATTTGACACGGAATGACCCTATATAGAATCATTGTGTGCATTGCATAAAGACTCACCTTAGTCCAACACTGTTAAGGAATCCACTGACTCGCTTTATTCCGGAGTCAGGAAATTCTGTGATGAAGTCACCTACAACTTGTCTAAGCTCCTCATCTGTAATTTCAGTGTAATACATTCGTACTGACAATCCATATTCAGACATTCTTCTTCTTATTGTTCTATAACTGACACAGAATAAGCGTGCAATTTCCTTTACAGTGAAATTAAATTCCAAAAGGTATTCCAACTGCTCTGGGGAAATGTCCCAGTGTGGGCGTCCTCTGTCTCCAGTCCTTATCTTGGCAGGCCTAAATCCATGCGTTGACTGAGTTGACTGGGCTTGCAACAAATACAATACCCTTTGCATGCTGTCTAGTATGTCGTCAATTTCCCTAGAAACACCATTCCGGACACATCTCACAAGAATAGAAAGCAGGTTCTCATAACGAGTGTAGAGAAAATCCAAATCCATTTGATTCGGGTGCATTTCAAATTGCTGACAAAGTCGCTGTGATTGAGAGTGAATAAACTGTAGCAGCTGATAGCTCTGTTGATTATCCTGAAAGCTAAAAAATAAAAAAATTAAATAAAAAAAGAATCTGCTTAGGCTAACTGGGTCATTTCTGTTATTCGGTTGATGACAAATAAAACGCTTAGGCCTACTATATGATTTATTCCTAATTTTTTTCCACATAGTTGGGTAATGATTCTACCTATTGTATTTTTTCCTGATTAAATTAAATTAATTTTAACAATTATAATCAAGGTTTTCAGATTGTCCGTCAATTTAGGTTCCATCCTATTGATTTTGACTACTTTCCCTTTAAATGAAAGTTGGAAAAATTAAATGACATCATATCTAATGCTGCCTTCACGTGCTATGGGAAATGTCCAACTTCCCACTTCTGAAGTTGTGATTACAAGGTCATAGCATTCAAATGTTGACTTGAAAGGGACTAGGAAATTAGTATTTATGATAATTCCAATAGCACGGGAAGGCAGCAATAAAGCTGACATCACTTGTACGCAGGGAAAACAACTTGGGCTAATGAATGAGATCCTCTATTATTTTAATTGTTTATTTTCATAAATTTTATCTTTCAAATGTTTACTTGATAAACCTTCCTTGTTACTTACAGTGGCTGATTTTAATTCAGAATGTCCACTGTGTTAGTGTCCACCCTGTTAGGTCTGAAGTGCACATAGTGACTGTGAAAGTAATTTATGTGCAAATTAAAGAAGTAGTGTATTTTAGATTATTGACAATGTTTTACATGTTTTCCATCTAAATTCAGTTCGAGCAAAAGTAATAACGTAACTGGTTGTATGTGAGATAAAAAAATTCATACATCCATCCATACTTTATACCACATTTTTACAATAATTTCATAAAATCAGCACAAAAAAACAACAACTAAGAATTCAGTTAGAATGATAATTTACTGGAGTATCATTAATGTACTACTTTTAAAAAGTAAACAATACATTTTAGGCATTTTATCTGTCCCGTACAGGATGTACATTTTTGATCTTCCATTTTATTTAATAAATGGCTACATTTATTTACCTGAGTTTGACAATTTTTTTTTAAATGGTTTACATCACTCTATCAAACACAAAAAAGTATTTTAAAACTGAGTTCTAGGCTACTAAGGCTACATTTTATGATGGGAAAAAGCTAACGAAAACCAGAAATGACCCACATACATTATTAAGAAGGAACATTTTATAATCCCATAATTGTTGAATGCATTATTTTACCTGGCTATTGAAGTCATCCTCGCTTACTCCAGTGTGTGGGGTTCATTCAAAATTAATACTTTTCTTCTTCCTTTGTGTTTTTTCTTTTTTTGCCATACACCGCACAGAATTTCTGGAAAATGGAAAGCAGAAAAATTCAAATTCGGTAAAAAAAAATTAAAAACGGAATTTGAGAAAAAAATAAAAAAGTATTTCATAGAGCCCTACATATTGAATTACATTGCCTATCTTTTCCATTGCATTGTGTTGAATCAAATTAAAAATCGGATCGAACTGCATCGTAATGGGGTGAATTGTATCGCATCGGTAGCTGTTCATATGCATCTTTAATGTATCGTATTGTTGACTATGCATCGAGATGTGTATCGCATCGGCCTCAGTTATGGACATGCACATCTCTAATGCAAACTATAGCCAACAAAAGTTAAACTTGAATGAAATAATCTTAACTTTTCTCAATGTGGGCACAATGAAAATCACTATGATGCTTAGTCTACATTATATTTAAGCTCCATGCATGTCTTTGTAAACATATCTTACATTTTAAAAGGAAAACATTTTTTTCACCACTTTTTTTCAACTCACTGTGGAACCATTTAAGCCTACCTTATGTGTTTTAATGAGGAATCACTCTAATTACAAACTTTGATAAATTTTCTGAGTTAAAGTGTTTAATGATAACATGTATTTGTGTGCTTTTACCTTACTAACCTTTTACCTTACCTTACCTTACTTACTACCTTAATGTACAACTATATTTAGTAGGGCTGGGACAAAAAAATCGATTCACCTAACTATCGCAATTTTTTTGTTTATGATTTTAAAACTGATTTTTTTTACTCCAGTATCGATATTAATTCAAATTATATATTGCTTTATTTTAGCCCTTGCATATACACGAGAAGGACAGAAGTTACCCACTTTTGTTCAAACAGGGCAAAACGTGTTGTTATCTCTAAGTGTTACGCGACCTAATATCCCTTTCAAGATATGAGATTACCCACACTTCAATGAATGAACAACGCAACACTAAGGCCCAATCCCAATTCTACCCCTTAGCCCTTCCCCTTTCCCCTACCCCTCTGTTTCGCGCGTTCACGTGAAGGGGTAGGGGTGTCTCGATTCTCTTTTGGTTGGAGGGGTAGGAGTAAGGGGAAGGGCCAGACAGCCCTTCAAACGAAGATTTTGAAAACAGCAGCGGGTAGCCTAGATTTATGCTTTCAGTTTGAATAGAAATCTTATACAGTACAGTTTGTCGATCTAAAATGGTAATTGTGCATTAACAGCTGTCAACCATGTCGGTACGCAAACACGCTGTCAGAACTTATTTCTACAGCGCATTTTTTATTTTGGTCGCGCATGCGGACCTGCGGACCACTTATGTGCACCCCTGTTTATAGTTCAAATGTAAACACTGATGTCTACGGTAGCAATCAAAATATAGTAAATCACCTTTTGATTCAATAACGTTTCAAATAACAACTGTATCAATTACATTGTTTCATTTCATAGAGCCCTACATATTGAATTACATTGCCTATCTTTTCCATTGCATTGTGTTGAATCAAATTAAAAATCGGATCGAACTGCATCGTAATGGGGTGAATTGTATCGCATCGGTAGCTGTTCATATGCATCTTTAATGTATCGTATTGTTGACTATGCATCGAGATGTGTATCGCATCGGCCTCAGTTATGGACATGCACATCTCTAATGCAAACTATAGCCAACAAAAGTTAAACTTGAATGAAATAATCTTAACTTTTCTCAATGTGGGCACAATGAAAATCACTATGATGCTTAGTCTACATTATATTTAAGCTCCATGCATGTCTTTGTAAACATATCTTACATTTTAAAAGGAAAACATTTTTTTCACCACTTTTTTTCAACTCACTGTGGAACCATTTAAGCCTACCTTATGTGTTTTAATGAGGAATCACTCTAATTACAAACTTTGATAAATTTTCTGAGTTAAAGTGTTTAATGATAACATGTATTTGTGTGCTTTTACCTTACTAACCTTTTACCTTACCTTACCTTACTTACTACCTTAATGTACAACTATATTTAGTAGGGCTGGGACAAAAAAATCGATTCACCTAACTATCGCAATTTTTTTGTTTATGATTTTAAAACTGATTTTTTTTACTCCAGTATCGATATTAATTCAAATTATATATTGCTTTATTTTAGCCCTTGCATATACACGAGAAGGACAGAAGTTACCCACTTTTGTTCAAACAGGGCAAAACGTGTTGTTATCTCTAAGTGTTACGCGACCTAATATCCCTTTCAAGATATGAGATTACCCACACTTCAATGAATGAACAACGCAACACTAAGGCCCAATCCCAATTCTACCCCTTAGCCCTTCCCCTTTCCCCTACCCCTCTGTTTCGCGCGTTCACGTGAAGGGGTAGGGGTGTCTCGATTCTCTTTTGGTTGGAGGGGTAGGAGTAAGGGGAAGGGCCAGACAGCCCTTCAAACGAAGATTTTGAAAACAGCAGCGGGTAGCCTAGATTTATGCTTTCAGTTTGAATAGAAATCTTATACAGTACAGTTTGTCGATCTAAAATGGTAATTGTGCATTAACAGCTGTCAACCATGTCGGTACGCAAACACGCTGTCAGAACTTATTTCTACAGCGCATTTTTTATTTTGGTCGCGCATGCGGACCACTTATGTGCACCCCTGTTTATAGTTCAAATGTAAACACTGATGTCTACGGTAGCAATCAAAATATAGTAAATCACCTTTTGATTCAATAACGTTTCAAATAACAACTGTATCGATTACATTGTTTCGCCAACAGGGGCGACAATAGACTGAAAATGTGTTGAATCTTGAATCAAGATAATGTAGTTCTATAATGGACGATGCTTCTGAAATAAAACTCAGAAAGATGTGATTAATTGTTTTTGTAAATATGAATTATCTTATATATCATGTACAGTCTATGAGTGTATGATTCAACTGTTTCCCATGGTCTACATTTAGTCATTTAGCAGACGCTTTTATCCAAAGCGACTTACAAATGAGGACAATGGAAGCAATCAAAAACAACAAAAGAGCAATGATATACAAGTGCTATAACAAGTCTCAGTTAGCTTAACGCAGTACACGTAGCAAGGGTTTTTTAAATGATATAATAAATAAAAAGAAAACACAGAATAGAAATAGAATAGAGCAAGCTAGTGGTAGAGGTCTTTTTTTTATTTTGTTAATTGTATAATAAATGAAAAAGAAAACAGATAGAATAAAAAAAGATTAGAAAGCTAGTGTTATTTTTTTGTTATTTTTTTTTTAAAGAAAACAAGCAGCAAATTAATAGAGAATAGAGAGTGCTAGAGTTACAGGTACAGAGTCAAATAAAGATGGAAGAGATGTGTTTTTAGTCGATTCTTAAAGATGGCCAAGGACTCAGCTGCTGGGATTGAGTTGGGCAGGTCATTCCACCAGGAGGGAACA